TTGACCTGATCCTCGACTACACGGTGAATGAACACCAAAAGACTTTGTTTCTGCTGCGACAACACTATGAGCTTGACCAGCCAGATACGCAGCTCTCTAGAGGGGTAGCTACTCTCCACTCCCATCCACTCCTCACATACTCTCTATACTATTTCTTTCAGTGTGATGAGTTTGCTCTGCAAGTTACTTGTTTTCCAATGCAAATCAAACCCTACGGCCTCTTCACTTGTAGCACTGCCACCTGGTTGAGTAATATTGCTTGCATTATAAGCTGGATGGTTGTTATATTCCAATATCGCATCGCGTCCGAGGCTAAACACAATAATATATAAATATCCATTATAGATTTTTAAGAGGGTGTCATATAAAATCTTAATACTTCATTTTCATGATAGAAAGGCAATATGTTGGGTTCTTTAAAGGCAAGCGTAATGTTAATTATATCTTTTTAATATATCAAATTAATAAAATCAATTAATGAACTGTGAAACTGATTAATCGCTGTCTGTATAGCAACACGCAATAGTGCATATCGCATTATATATTCAACGCTATTGATTCTACGTCTAGGCGGCTCTTATATAGTTGCGTCCAGTTAGTTACCAACAATCAGTGTTCGAATGGTTACTCGGCGGTTACAACGTTGGCTCTATGAGCTCTTTGCCTACTATGCGATATTCATCGGTGTCACGAGCTATCGCTACGATTTTAATCTGCGTCTATATAGAAATACCAAATGGACGCAGCTCATCGCCAGTTTGTCAAATCTAATCTTAGTCAGTGTTACGATATTGGATTTGGCTTGGGTCTGGTTCGACTACTTAAATGTAGATCGGGTAACGGGTCAAATTATAAAATTAGATCTCACCGTCAACGATATGTTTTGCTTGCTGCGCCTCTTACAGCGAGTGCCTCGTGAGCGAGCGACCAGAAATATTGAGCAGGATCTGCGAAGCTTGACTACGTTCTATCAAAAACACTGCTTATGGAAGGATAAGCACGGCAAGCAGGAAATGTGTCGGTTGCGGCGAATCTATTGGGCCAAGAATTGTTTAATTTGGCTGTTCACAGGATTTCTTTTATTGTTTTCGATAATAGCCTATCAAGTCATGGGCTTAATGAGTAGAAATATATATTTGGAGTATTTGGTTCTGATTCTCAAAACCCTGGCCATCAATACACAGGATATCATAATGCATTTACCCTTCCTGATCAGCTGGAGAATGTGTAGGCTTTATATGCGCCTCAACAGTCGCCTAAGAGAACTAGTAAAACACAACTCACCTGCAGATGCAGTGGAACTTAATCATCTACGCCTACTGCATATGAAACTGAGTTCCTTAATGGACCATTTGACTACTACTTACGACGTGCTTATGATAAGCACTCGACTTTCTCTGATTGTAACAATTACTGCTATGGGCTACTACATCAGCATTTTTGAGTTTTTTCCGAGTATCTGTCAGATTGTCGGCTGCATCTTATATACTCTACTTGCTTTGGGTGGCTATGTCCTTGACTTGATCCTGGACTACACGGTGAATGAACACCAAAAGACTTTGTTTCTGCTGCGACAACATTATGAGCTTGACCATCCAGATATGCAGCTCTCTAAAGGGGTAGTTACTTTCCACTCCCATCCACTCCTCACATACTCTCTATACTATTTCTTTCAGTGTGATGTGTTTGCTCTGCAAGTTACTTGTTTTCCAATGCAAATCAAACCCTACGGCTTCTTCACTTGTAGCACTGCCACCTGGTTGAGTAATATTGCTTGCATTATCAGTTGGATGGTTGTTATATTCCAATATCGCATCGTCTCGGAGATGGAACAAAAAACAAAATAAATAATATTTATATATTTCATTGTCATTGTCATTGTAATTTTATTTTAATTTTTATTGTTATTGGCATCACCATGTTTATTATCAAAGAGATAAATTATTTCATTTCTTATTGATTATAAAGTCTTCGAATTTTCAATGTCTTGATATATCAAATACTTGATAAATTGTGAATTGCCATAATAGAAAATATTTTGATTAATTGATTAAGGACTGTCTAGCCACACGCAATAGTGCAAATCGCATTATGTATTCAATATTATTGATTCTACCTCTAGTCGGCTCTTATATAGACTCGTGGCTATTCAGTTGCCGTCAATCAGTGTTCGAATGATGGTGGCGCGTCGGGTGCAACGTTGGCTCTATGAGCTCTTTGCCTACTATGCGATATTCATCGGTGTCACGAGCTATCGCTACGACTTTAAGCAGCGTCTATTGAGAAATTCCAAATGGACACAACTCTTCGCCAGTTTATCTAATGTAATACAGTTCGGTATTACGATAATGGATTTGGCGTGGGTCTGGTTCAATATAGTGAAACTGACTGGAGTAACAGGCCAAACAATCCAATTGGATACCACGGTCAACGATGTTGTTTGCCTGGTGCGCATCCTGCAGCGAGTATCTCGGGAACGAGCTACCAGAAACATTGGCAAGGAGCTAAGACGGATAAGCGAATTCTATCAATATCGCTGGGGGAGAAGAGATATGCTGAACAAACACGATTTGAGGCGTTTGCAGCGCATCTACTTAATCAAGAATTGTATTATGTGGCTGCTACTCGGATTTCTTGTCTCCTTTTCGCTTACCGCTGCCCGATTCTTTGGCTTGACGGAGGAAAATATTTATGTGGAGTACACACTAATAGTCCTCAATGTCCTGGCTATGGACAGCCAAGATGCGACAATGCACTTGCATTTCCTGCTTAGCTGGCGCGTCTGTCGACTCTACATGCGCCTCAATAGTCACATAAGGCGGTTGGTCAGGGGCAACTCACCGGAGCATACCCTGGATTTGCAGCACCTCCGCTGGCAGCACCGGAAACTGACCTGTCTTGTGGAACGCTTGACTACTGCTTACAATGTGATCATGATAAGCAATCGCCTTTCGCTGATTATCACTGCCACAGCTTTGGGCTATTACATCACCGTATTTCGAGACTATCCCAGTATCTATCAGATTGTGGGCTATGGTCTGTATGCTGTGCTTGCTGTCGACGGCTATGTTCTCGACCTGATCCTGGATTGGCTGGTGAATGAACACCAAAAGACTTTGGTTCTGCTGCGACAACACTATGAGCTTGACCAGCCAGATACGCAGCTCTCTAGAGGGGTAGCTACTCTCCACTCCCATCCACTCCTCACATACTCTCTATACTATTTCTTTCAGTGTGATGAGTTTGCTCTGCAAGTTACTTGTTTTCCAATGCAAATCAAGCCCTACGGCCTCTTCACTTGTAGCACTGCCACCTGGCTGAGTAATATTGCTTGCATCATCAGTTGGATGGTTGTTATATTCCAATATCGCATGGCGTCGGATATGAAACAAAAAAAGGAATAAATATTTATCATAGATTCTTAATTAAATGTGATTTTGTTTGTTTATTCCTACGAAAGGCTTTAATTTGATTGGTATTCATGGATCTTTAAGGTTTGTTTGATCAGTTATCTTATGTAGTGTAATTTATATTACATCATTAAGACATATCAATTTTCAATTGTTTACCCAAGAAAAAGACAATATTTTTGCCTTTTACTCACTGTGTACAGAACCCTTAAAGTACTTATGGACATAATTTCTGTTGAATGCTTTTTATATTAATACCGACTAACATTGTTTCCCTGCTTACACTTAGATTAGACTGTCAAAATATCATTATATCAGAAGCTTCAAGTATTCAACTTGAAGGGAAAATGTTTCTAGACTGGCATAATCACAATATACCCAACACCTAGTAAAAAACAGAGTAAAGAGAATTTGTATATACAGTAAATACTTTAATATGATGACTAGACAAACATTGCTCACTGTCTATATACCCCTTATTCCGCTTCAAAGCAGAGTATATATTGAAAAATAAAGAATTTCTACTCTATTTATACACTATCTCTCTCTGTATGTATATATAACCAACACAAGCTTATCTACCAGTCAACATCTCCTATTCCCCATGGTTAAACAGGGTATATAATTATATTGATTGGTTTCCCTGGAATTGGAGCGGTAAACACTTGATAATCGGCAAATAATTGGTATGCTTATAAACGCAATCAGATATTTTTGTTAGACAACGCACAGTGGGGTCTTCTTGACATTTCTGGTTGAAAAAGAAGCGTTTTCAAATGGAAAGGTCACGTCTAAAAGTAGCAAAATTCGAAAGTTTATTTTGAAGCTGATTCATTTAGAAACAATAAAAAACTTTTTCTTTTAATGAATTAATTGTTGGTAAAGGTTTGATTGCTGCACAGCTGTTGCTCGCAAATAAAATTGCTCAATGTGTAATCGTTAACAAAGGGAACACCCCTAATAAAAATAAAGCGTTCGCCCTTTCAAGGTCTTTTCACAAAACGTATCTTGAATCACGTTCACGGCAAAATTCAATTAAAGTTGGAAAACATTTTCTTGTCTAGTTGTTAGAGCCGCACGTGGCAGCTATGGCAACTGGCATGTTGAGCCTCTCTCTCTCTCTCTCTGTCTATTGTGCTGCGCTTTTCAAGTTCATATCCGATTTTAATTGCGGAAATGCATTTATGCTGCAGCCTGTTTGCACCCCCAGCCCAAGCCCCAGCCCCAGCCCCAACCCCATGTTATGGCATACTTACACAATGCAATGCGGGTCACGTTTGTGGCAACAAGTGTCCTGTTTCCTGTGTCCTGGCCAGCTGCCTGCTTATGAGCCATTATCCTGGCAGCTTAGCCAAAGCAGATTTGCTCTGATTATCCTTTGTCCTTTCAATGAAGTTATGAGATGGATGTAAACTGTGCACTTTGATTTGGGGTCTAGAAATTTGACATTTACTAGAAATATTCCGATTTAAATTAGATTTGAACCTGTGACCTAAAGTATATATTCAACACTTTAAAAATAAAAATGGTTTAAATATATATAATTTATTTATTTTTTTATTTATTTATTTTTTTCATTTATATTTTCAGCCCAACAACAAAAAAGAAACCCAATAAAAATGATGAAATTCGTCCAAATCGTGTTATGCTACGGCCTTTTGCTGAGCGTGTTCTTTGCTTTGAACGAGGCGCGACCATCGGCAGCTGAGGCGACTGCTGTAAGTAAAGCCTTGGCTATTTGTGTGACTCAGTTTAACGGACTATAATTGTAGGAAACTGATGGACTGGATCAGCAGGATGTAGAGGATGTGCGTGCCGCCTATGGCGGCTATGAGATGCCCGCCCAGGCGATCTATCCGAACTTGCCCATGGATCGCTTGCAGATGCTTTTCGCACAGTACAGACCCACGTAGGTTACCACTATGCGCCGATATATAATATAGTTCTCTCTTTTTATTGGGCTTTCTTTATGTCTTCGATGCATCCTTTTTAGCTACAGCGCCTACCTACGCACTCCCTCCTATGGCAACATGAACGAGCTCTTCCGCATGCCCGAGAGCAAGCGTCAAGTGAGGTACAGGCAGTGCTACTTCAATCCCATCTCCTGCTTTAGAAAGTAAATGCCAACAGCCGATGACGACGATAGCAACACAAACACTTAAAAAAAAAAAACAAAATAAAAATCCAAAAACACAGCCCAATTGAAAAATTAACATTTCAAACTATGGAAAAACCGTTTAGCATAATTCCAATGCCAATATTTAGTGCAATTAACTAAAGTTAAGACTCAACGCTCTATGAATGTCTATTAAACACAAACAAACAAATGATAAATTCTAAATAATAAACTTTGCACATAAATAAAATTTATGTTTTTGCACTTGGCTTTCGTTAAGATCGACTTTTCCATTAACAATTTCTATTATGCTTGCATATGGTGTGGTAAAATAATATTTAAATAAAAATATTTAAATACAAATATTTAACTAAAATATATGATTAAACTTATTGAAACGGAGTTCAATTTCCTCTTGTAAATTAAACGTTTCAAAACTATTGTATAATAAATACACACATATATAGATAAATATATATATATATTTATTTGAATGTACACATGAATAGAGTCCAGCACTTATTTAACTATCTATGTAAAATATAAAAGCTCTGAATAAAGTATTTAAAATATATATTTAACAAAAATGCAGAATTTAAACGGATTTATTTGTATATAGCTAACAATGCTGAGGGGTGTTTACTGTACAGGCAACAACCTGAAAATTAAAAAAAAAAAATAAATAAATAAAAACAAAATGAGCTGAATATATTGACTTACCATATAAAGCATGTTCACTGTACTTATAAAAACATTTCAAATCTCAATTGCAGTTCATTTCACCTGTTCGTTTGGAGGAACATATCAATCGCAGAAAATCATACAAAAATATTTTAATAGGAAATCAATAAAAACTTACTTTAGTTAATTAATCATCAACACCAATTAGGTCTAGAATTTCACCATTTTATATTTCATATAATTTAAATTTGTTGTTAATCTTAATTCTTACTTAATTGAATATGGCTTTGAAATCTAAGTTCAATACAATTCCCTTTTGAAATTGTTTTGCCAGATTATTTGAGAAGTAAATTTAAGATTCTTTGATTTGAATTCAGTTAAACTTTATTTAGTTCTCAACTCTTTGTCTTAGGTAAAAAAATACTTTCATTACTTTAAATTATTTAAAGTACTTTAAAGAGTTTGCACTGAAAGTGCTTTTATTTGCAGTTTTATTTAAAAAAATTTTAAATATTTTCGTATATTTTTATATGTTCACATTTGTTGCTTAACACAATAAATATCCATAATTGATTGTATGACAAAGGAAATTTTTATTTTTTATTAAATTATTTAAAAAATTTTAGTTAAAATAATTTGAATTTTTTTGTTTATTTTTTCTTTTTTCAACTTGACCTTTTCATCTCACCTTCAATTCCAAGAGTATGCTCTAAGAGTTAACATAGATATATTAGAGTAAGAGTATGCCTGACTTATAATTAAGCTAATATCTTTATATGATTCACAGTTTTTTCGTCTCCGGATCTAACCACAATTGATGAACTGATATATTTATAGTACTTGAAATACTTTAGGAATTCTTAGTATATATATTTAAGACTATTTGGTTAAGATCATCAGTGATCAAAAGACTTTAAGTTGAACTTGATTTCCCGGTGCAATTCACAGTTTTCTTTTTAAATATTTTGGTTTTCAATCACAAGTGTCTTCAGTTGCTCCACTCATATGCCCAAACGCCTGGGCTCCAGCTGCTGGCGCTCAACTTTGCGCCCCATTTGCAGAACCAATCGATCAGGCGTTGAGATCTTGTAGTCCGCATCGCGTCCATAACGCTCCTCGATGCGCAGCGACGTGGCCATTACAAAGATGGAGAACACCAGAGCAATTAAATAGCGTACAACCAACATAGTCGACTCCGAGCGATTGATGTGCCTGATCACACTGATCGGACTGTTGCGGGGTGCTTACGGGTCGCTCGCTTTTATAGCCCAGGACCTCAGCAGGTAGTTTTCTCCATGTTTCCAGAGCGGGATTAGAAGCGCTTTGTTATGCTTGAGTTCTTTCCACATATTTATGTTTTATGAGCGTAGATTTTCGTGCAGTGTGTGTGTGTGTGCGTCCGCTAATAAAAGTGCGCTAATCCCTTGGCAATTTCCACTTCCTGCGCCGGCACATGCAAATCCCGAACATGATTAGCCTGTCTAATAATTGCGAGCATCATCAGTTACAGCAGCAACAGTTGCTGCTGCTGCACAGCATCATCATCAGCAACAGTTGCTGCTTCCAAGAAGCCGCTGTCTGTGTATTTTATGATGACGACGAGGACGACAGAGAGAAGGACGCGGAGCATGAGGACGCATTTTACCATTAGACATTTTAATTGTTAATTTTGCAAAAATTTAAATAATGGATGCGCTGCAGGCCGCGAAGCAGCTGAAGCTACCTGCATTTATTAACTGACTAGTCGCTCCCTCCGCCTCTCTCTCTCTTTCTCGTTCTCGCTCTCCGGCTCAAGTGCCATCAACGTAAAAACAAGTGGCAACAATTTTCTATAAATTGCATTTGTGCAAAATTAAGTTCAATCTTGGCCAAGTGCAAGTCGCACAAGTCTGCAGTCTGAAGTCTGGAGTCGAAGACCAGGTCCGGTAGCCGCATCCGTTGCACCTCCTCGCTGCTGGAGTAGCCAAACTCCATTAACTTTGCAATTGGCCACCATAACTTTTAGCTGGGGCTCGTTTGCCTGGTCACCTCACCTCGTCGGCGCGAGGGGGCAGGGGGAGGGATCTCTACCACATCCCAGGCAGCATCGCTTGTTAGTTTTTGCGCCAGATCGTTTATAATAATTCGTATGCGAGTCATGTCATGGCCCCTAAAGTGTATCTGCGACTGCGACTGCGCCGTCGTCGTCGTCGTCGTCCACTTGGCCAAGCACACGACGCGATGTATCTGTATCTACGAGTTTCTGTCTCGCTGCCTCGGCCTCTGCGTCTGCGTCTGCCCCTTCCTTTGCCACGGCCTCTGCCTTGGCCTGGCCCGGCCTGGTCAACTATGCAACCGCAGCCATCGCCCCGTTCGCCTGCTGACTCGGCTTGATCTTGCGCCCATTTTTCTGCGCGCTTTGCTTTAGGTCGCCAACGTTCGATGCCAGCTCGCCTCGCCTTCCTCCTTCCCCTTCTTCACCTCATCTGCCTTTCTCTATGCCCCCTCTTGACCACTTGCTGTGGTTGCGCTGGTTTTGCGCGTTCTATCGGCAAAAGGAAGTTAGAAAATGCTCTGAATTCATGTGGGCACTGGCGCTGGCATTTCGCTTCAGCCGCAGCAGCAGCAGCAGCAGCAGCCGCAGCCTCAGCCACGGCTTCAGCTGATTGCAGATCACTGACGAGGAAAGTTGGTTTCAAGTTGAGCAACTAACTGTAGAAGTTAGTTAGTTTCACTAAGCTCAACTAAGCTATATCCAGTTGAAGACTTTATGCTGTCGCATTAGCTGTTGAACATCATAGGAATATTAATTAGCTTAAAGTTAAATATGGGTGTATTTTAGAACTTTTAGAGTACAGTCTGGCAGTCACTCAATCGGTCATTCTATAAAACAGCCTGCAAGACCGTCAGTTAGTCATTCTACAGGTAAGTCAATCAATCAATCAGTCTAACAGTATCAGTCAGTCTTTCAGTGAGTTATCAGCCGATCAATCAGTCAGTCAACCAATATTAACTAGCCAATCAGTCTACCCATCAATCAGTCAGACAGATCATTAATTCGTCATTCAGCCAACCAGTCAATCAATCCATCAGTTGATCAATCAATTAGTAATTTAATCGGTAAGTCAGTCAGTCAGTCAATTGATCAATCAGCCAGTCAGTCTTTCAATCTATATCAATAACTTAATCAATCAGTCACCCATGCAGTTAATCAGTTAATCAATCAGTAAATCAATCAATCAATCAGCCAGTTGTGCGGTCAATCATTATAATTTCTCGTTTCGTCCTTCCTTCTATCCTTCAAGCATTAAATGAATAGGTTAATCAGTCAGTCAATTAATCAACCAGTCAATCACACTATTGAATACTTAACTTGATCATCGTTGGCTCTCTTAAGTCTCTTGAATAATTGCTAACCTCGCTTTGTTTTAATGTTTTAGTGGTTATCGATTTATCGATACACTTATCGGTTAGGCCCAGTGAGTACTCTTTTTAGTCCTATGTTCTAAAGCTTTTACGCCTACTTGATTAAGCTCAGCAATGCATTACCCTTCAAGTCGATAAATGCCTATTTGCCTAATTGTTATCGATCTTTACTTCATTTATCGCTTGCCCTTTTCTGTAAGCTCAACTGCAGCTTTCTATTAGATATTTTTTGTTGCTGGTCAAATCAAATATTGCTGGCAATCGAAAACTTGACACTGCGATTATTTACCTTTTTTTTGGGCGCAGGTTCGAAGATGTTGCTGATGTTGTTGCTGCTGTTGGATTCGATTGCTCGCGAGTTGCCACAAAAGGGCAGCAGCAACAGCAAGAAATATGAAATTCCAGCAGCTGCGGGACATTTGAGGTGGCCAAGGCGGGGCCAACAGCGATTGCCAGCTAACCGGTAGTTGTTGCTGTTGCTGTTGCAGTTGCAGTTGGCATATGTTGTTGTTGTTGTTGCTGTTGTTGCTGCTTAGTTGCTGCTGTTGCTGTTAGTAGTTGGTGGCTCTAGACTTTGGCGGCGTCCTCTTCGCTGGTCGTCGTCACCATGTCGTCGCTCTGGACATTGCCAGCAATGTTGCTCTTATTTCAGAACATGAACAACAGCAGCAGCAGCCGCAGCAGCAACAACAACAGCAAGAACAACAGCAGCAGCAACATCGTTTGTATGGGTCGCAAGAATGCCTTAATTCAGGAATTTAATGAAAAATGCTCTATGAAGCAGAGCAGCAAATTAAAAAAGGAAAAACTTTTGCACAGCAGCAGCAACAATCTCAGCGGCAGCAGCAATCGCCGCCGTCGTAGCAACAGCAGCAGCAGCAAAAAGGTTAAAATTAAAAATCAACGCAGCAGCAGCAGCAGCAACAACAACAACAACAACTGCAAAGTTGATGTGAGAGATCGGTGGCAGGTGAGCCCAGTGGCTGCTGTTGTTGCTGTTGCTGCTGCGACTGCTGCTGTTGCTGTAGCTGTTGCGCGTTGTAAATTACATTTTCCAAATGCTTTTGCCATGTCGTACCAAAAACCCCATGTACATATGTGGAATAAGGCCGTAGCTCCTGCCTCTTGGCTTCCGTTTTTGATTTGGAACACTTGTTGCAGCTAGCCGTTGCAAGTTGTTGTTGCCAGTGGCTGCCTGGCTTTAGGATTTGTCCTGTAAAATTCCTTGGGGATGTGTAGACACACAGAGAGAGGGAGATTTTTGTTGCTGCTGCTCTCTGGCTTCTGTTGCTGCTTGTTTGATTATGTTGTTGTTGTTTGTACAGATTGTTGTTGATTTGAGTGTTGATTGTTGTTGCAACATAATGCGGTAGGTGGGCAAAGGCCTTCGCCTTTGATTAAGCCGGAGCCCGAACAACACGAGTCGACCGTGTGTGCGCTGAGTGTGAACTGCGAAATGGCTTCAGACAGCAGGTATTATAAGATTTGCTTGTGTTTTGCAAGATGTTGACCGGATTATGGCTTGAGAGCTGCGCGAATTGCATTGGCAACAGATTAAACAGCTTTATTGCAACTCTCGCCTAACCTTGGCCAACTTTCTCCAATAACAACTTTTAGAAAATTATAAATTTCCATACTTATGCTATGATTTGATTATCCTAATTATACAAACTGGGCAAAAGCAACATAAATCTTATAATATTATTGATTTGATGAGATTATTATATAAGCTATATCTTTTTGTTGTCTAATATAGCACTCTAAAGCACAAAGAGATGGTCAGACAATAATCAAGATTTATATATGTTGAACTCTTAAGAGGCCATATCGATCAAAATCTATGGATTCTCAGAGGTGGACAAATATATCAATATATTTTAAGTTTTTGTTAAACTTATATTTTATATTATAATGCCAGTTAAAATCAATTTTAAGTATTTTTGTTTACTTTAATACAAACGAATGTTCTTAAGTTGGTTCTCAATTTTATTTTTTACTTTTTTTAGAATAATATAAATACTTAATTTAAATACTTAAATATTCTTTTTTATATATAATTTTTTATTCATATTATATATAAAAAATATAAAATTATAATTAAAACTGATATTTTATGTATTAATAATAATTTCAAAATATTAATATTAAAGGAAAAAAATATTTAAATATTTAAAATTTACTAAATTATTATTTCGTTTCATTTTATTTAATTAAAATTATTATTTTTATTTATTTTATTATTCCTTAAATTATATTTAATATTTAAAAAATATTTTTTTAAAGGTATTAATTATTATAATTTGTCACATTTTTGTTCATATTTTTTGTAAACTTAGATTTAAGTTCGAATGAGAAATCCTAGAATTTCTTTCACTCTAATAGATTGGCTCCGGCTCAACGATCTCGTAGGTGGACATCGGCAGGACATAGTTGCTGTAGTAGTTGCCGCCGCCATAGGGTATCACCAGCTGTGGATAGAGCTGAGCTGAAGGCATGTAGAAGTCGTGTCGCTGCTTAAGGAACGAAGCCCCCACCACGGGCCTATTCGAGATGCGTTGCACCAAATCGTTGTCGATGTAGTCGTCGGGCGTGGCTTCCTGGGAGGTGACTTCGTTCAGCAGATCTCTTGGCCGCGCCCAGCAGCCAGCCAGGGCGAAGCTGACCAGGAGCAGCAGCGGCAAAGAAAGCGATTTGATGTACATCTTAACGGCTTGACAGCTGAACAGGGAATGTCTGTCCAAATGGTCAACAGGTATGACTTATATATGCATCTGGAAAGATCGATATGAGCAGGTGAACAGGTAAAGCGCGGGCGTTAAGCGTTTTCTAATGAGCGGGCCTAGCTGACAGCTGGCAGCTACGCCTGGCTCTACCTGTTCGAAGATAGTTAGCAGATCCGCAGCCACCCGGTCGATAAAGTCACTTAAATGCAAATCCCAAGCCGAGCTGAAGTCGCGTCGAACTCCAAGTCCAAGTCGAAGTCGTAGTCGAGTCGATATATCAATGCGTTTGCCATTTAACCATGTTAATCAAACAACGAAATCCATCAACGGTTGACACGGCCAACAAGCAGCAGGTGGAGGACAAGACAACAACTTACAAAAAAGTGGAGAAAAATCCTAAAGCTGGGCGTAGGCGACTGCGCAATATTCGCCTAAAAGTTATGAAGTCAATCTTTGCCTATCTGCTTATCTATAAATATCTATAACAATCTTTATATCTTATCTATGTCATTGTCTATATCTATATACTTATATGATATGGATATTAATTGGATTTACTACTGAGTTTCTAGTTCTAGTATCTAGTCTATTTAGTCTATATATATTTATCTCTGGTTTCTAGTCTCTAGAATGCCAACTGAATTTTAGATACAGACATGTCTCGTTTGCAACTAATATACCCACTTCAGTCAATAAACAGGTATGCAACGAAGAGGAAAAAGAGAGAAAAAGGAAAAACCGAAAGCCAATCCCAATGCCATATCCCCAGACATGTCAGTGCGATAATGGTGCACTTCGTCTAAAAACAACTTCATTCACAAAAATCTGACGAAAAGAAAAAAAAAAGAGAAAAATCAAGCAGAAAACGAAGAAGAAGAAGCAGCAGCAGCGAAGCTAAAAGGAAGCGAGTCCCATTAAAAATATCTTGTGGATGCCAAAGAGCTAAAGATACATTCAACGACGACAAGGTGCAAGCCTAGCCTAGGCCAAAGAGGGCGGCAGCCAGCGCAGGGGGCGGGGCAGTCGACAACTCAAGACTCGAGCTACTTGATTACTTCGCTACACAATGCACAGCAGCAGCAGCAACAACAGCAGCAGCTGCGGGGGCGGGACGAAGCTGGGGAGTAGCTGGGCAGGCAGGCGCAGCTTGGATAACGCTTGCAACATACGCCTAATGCCACAGACATCGACATCCGCCATTTAACAACTTAACCCCCCAGTGGCCCGCCGGGTTGAAATTGATGAACGAAAAAAAAAAACAAGAAAGAAATGAAATAATAAATAAATAAAACGGAAATGAGTGAAAATTGCGAAAAAAATCTCTAAAAATAAGCACAGAATTTAGATGAGCTTGACAAGTTTTAAGAATCTATCGATAACAAATTTAATAAAATATATTTTATAAAAAGATAATTTAATAATAATTTTTATATAAGATAATGAGATAATAAAAGAGAGGATATATAGATTGATATATGATAGCATGACGAAAAAAGTAAAAATATATTTAAAATATATATAGGTAGAATATATATAAATATATTTATTAAATATATCTCCTAATTTAAGCTAATAAAAAAGTATAAAAAGGGATCGATAACGCTTTTATGATATAGATTTTGTAAACTGTTATAGTAATATGTTCTATATACAACAAGAAAGAAAGCTCTATATCTCTATATCAAGCATTAAAAGAAGCGGGCCTCAACTCCACCAACTAAATAAGTAATTCTTGAAAGGTATTAGATTATTATTATATTAGATTATTATTATTTATTATTATTTATTTTGTTAAATATATAATAGTAATTTTAATGATTAACCATTTTAAAAAGAACAAGAACATTCGTAGTTAGTATAAATTATCATAAAAAATCACATTTCTAATGATCATTGTTAATTAATCATCGTTAATGATAATTACCACTAATAATCATGTACATAAATTCTTAATTATCATAATTCTTAATTATCATTGCGGCTAATGAATATTGAGACGAACTACATATTCATATTTTATTTATAATTTATTTATAAATAAACGACAGACAAATATATGCAACTATATAGCCAGCTACTGATCATGCTGATCATACTTCTGTTGTCTGACATATATTAGTATATAATAAACATACAACTAAATACAACATTTTGAGGCTCTAGCTCTTAAGCCGAGATATGATTTTCGATCATGTTTTAATTGATAAGAATAAAACGTGAAAAGTTATCGATTATTTGAAACAAACTTGATATGCGCGTACCTTCAAAAAGTCTCTAGTTCTTTTCTTCTCTTTTCTGGTGTCCACTGAAGGGTTAAGCTGTTTGCGCCTAGGCCGATGCAGCTGCTGCGCAGTCGCAACTGTCTACATTTGTCTGGCTGCCTACAGCTGCCGACGCAGCAGCAGCAGAGATGCCGCGTCGCTGTCCTCTGGTCAGCAGTCGGCTCGATTATTGGACGTCCAGCTTTCAATTTGCAACATAAAGCATCTTCATCGTGGGCCGCATGAATGGGCAGCGCAGCAGGCAGCGCGCAGGGCGCGGGGCGGCTGCGTTGGGGTACAGGTGAGGCGTGGGCCGATTCTGCTGCCTGCCTGGGCTGGCATTGGCAGCAGGCACTCAGGCGTGCCGCGGCGGTAGTCGCTGACCTTTATTGATTGCTGTTTGACCTCGGCAGCAATTGTTGCTGTTGCTGCCGTTGCATCTGCAGCCATTTGTACTTGCTCGATCACAGGCATAGATTAAGCAACAACAACAACAACGACGCCCACAACAGCAGCAGCGACGTTGACTGCGACATCGCAAGCGGTTGCAGTTTTGCCGTTTTGCTTTCTGCCTTTTTGCACAACCTTCATTGTTGTTGCCATTGTTTGCATTTTTGTTGTTGTTGTTCCATTACTTCGTTCATGGCAGTTAATTTATATTCGATGCCATCTCTAGCTCTCTCCCGCTCTCCCGCTCTTAATGTGAGCTTTTTGCTGCTGCTTCCTTTTGATATGTTTAGCTTAAGGTCGTCGCTGACTGACAAATGCAGCGGCAGCGCACCGTCGTCATTGACGCCTCTTCTTTTTGCTCTCCACTCTCCACACTTCACTAGTAGCACATGCAAAGCAAAGCGTGTCAAAAGAAAACAATGAAGAGCAAAAGAAATCACAACACACTTTCAGCTTCGACGTATCGTGTCGTTTGTTTTGTTTGACAGTTTCTATCTGCCTCTGATACTAGCAGCGGCGAAGGCAGACGCCGATTTGTTTTTTTTAATTGTTTTTTTAGAGAGTTGGAAAAGCGATAATAATTAGCAGATTAGTAAATGGATTATTGAAAGGGAGAGAACTGGTGGGGTCAATAAAGTAATTAAAAAAATATAATTATAAGTATTTTCTATTATATATTTTAGATAGGATACTCTACACATATATATATTAATTTCACCCATTATCTCCACTAAATCCTCTGAGTAAACTCTACACGCCAAAATCCAATTTCGAGTGCAAGTTAAATGCTTCTTTAGAGTTAATCAATTTCTTAGTCTTAATAAGCTCACGCACAACCATAGTCACTCTTAATTGAAAGCAAATCAAAACTAACTCTTTTTCCCTGACGAGCGTAGCCCCAACATATAATCATAATAATTATTAATTATAATAAGAGTTGATCGCTGCACAACAGAGCAAACAACCTGCTGCATTAAAAGATATATACGTGCGTGATATGTGACATTACTCTTTGCTCTCTCATGCTTGCGCTCTTAAAAGTTTGCTCTTAAGCCTATTGCTACAAAATTCATTCATATAAACTACAGTGCACACACTTACTTGAATGTTATACGATGTGCAGCCGAACGCCCAGTACGGCCCCACATAAAAATGAGATGGGGACATAGAGAGAGAGAGAGAGAGAGAGAGAGAGAGAGCAGCCGTGATCGAGCAGCAACCGTCGGGCAGAGTCGGTTAGTTATATTTGCGACGCTCTCGTGTGCGGGTCGTTGTCGGTTGAGGGGCGCAACTGGATGCCAAAACAAAAGGCAAAGAAGAAAATAAAAAAATAAACAAACAAACAATAATAATAAACGTAATTTAAACAATTAATCAAAACGCGGCGATCAATGAAACTTATGCAAAAGCAGCAACAACACCAGCAACAAGTGCCAGTGAATTATTGTACTTAATTTTTATGTACAAATTGTGAGTGAGTGTTTGTAAGAGTGTAGATTTTTATGTATGTGTGTATGTGTATATGCGGCTTTATCAATTGCTCCATATAAAAAATTATTGAAGTGTTTGACAGCAGCAGCGGCAGTAGCAGCGCAGCAACATCATAAAACTAACGGCAAAATCAACATCGGCGGCAGCGGCAGAAGCAGTGGCAGTGGCAGCGCAGACGACGTCTGCTTAAAACGGTAATTAATACAAACACACTTTTGATTTGGCAATAAACAAATGATTCAGCAATTGTCAGCAACTGTAAATTGTAAAACACTTGCGACGCTCGCCGCTCTGATTGAATGTAGTCAGCGTCGGCGTCACTGCCACCGTCGCCGTCGGCGACAAAGCTTTTAGCTCAAACGCATGTCTGCAATTAGTCTGCGTTATTATTGCTTTCTGCCGACGACGACTTCGGCGTCGGCGTAGTCGCTGTTACAAAGTAGCACGCGCATAGACATACACAAATTAATAAAATGCCTTGCTTGCTTGCGCTCTCTTTATCTCTCTGTTTAGGTTTTGCTCCCCCGCAGCTGTTACGTAGGCTTGCTCTCTTTTGTGTGCTTTTGTGTATGAGTATATGTTTCTTTGTTACGTGTTTGCCTTTACGCCTTTTACATACCCTTCACATTATTATTTGCCATTTTGTCGCTTTCATTAATTGGCCCATGTAAAAACGGCAACGGCAATGGCAACGACGGCGACGGCGACGTCGGCTACCTGACACGGCAGCTTTTGTTACTACTATCAGAAAGCACACTAACAACAAGTGCCGACTGCCACTCACCCTCTCTCGCTCTCTTGAGTGTTCGCTCTTTTACACACACTTGTTGCTTGCGCGTTGTTTTTACAGTTTTTAAGTGGCGCTCATATCCGGCGCTTGCTTTGCCTGCCCTGATAAGCGCACTTTTCTTCTCTCTCTACCTCTCCTCCCTCATTTTCTTCTTCTTCTTCATCTTCTGTTGTTGTTGTTGTTATTGTTGTTGTGTGGTCTACCTGTCTGCATTTTATTTGCATTTTCATCGCCTTTTCTCTGCCATTGGTTTATTTTTTACAAATTATTTTTGGGCTTAGGCTTTGGCTTTGTTCTCGCTAAAGTGAATCAGTTTTAGAGGCGCCTAATGCGCATCTGTTTTATTGTTTGATTGTTAATTGCTCACAAAGGGTGCGTGCTTAAGTGGGATAGTATGTGTATGTTATGTGTGTGTCTGTGTGTATGCAATTTGCACAAGTCTCCCATTGGAGACTCTCCAGCAAAACATTTTTCACTTGTTGCACAGTTTTTAAGTTCAGCGCGAATCGTTAAGAGAGACAGGACAAAAGGCTCTGCATTAGACGTTAAAGCGCTGTAAGTTGAAGAACTGAGCTTAGGTAACATTTGACAATTGGAACCGCAATCCAATTCCAATCGGAACACCACTTATTTAAAATTGGCTGTAACAAAACGAATCAAATTCTAAGAGTTGGGAGTTTTTTAATGATTTCTATATTCTTTAATTCATTTCAATATTCTATAAATAGAATTTAAATTTAAATTTAAGTTTTAACACTTAACACTTCATCTGCTGAGATCTCTGCCAATGACACCCAAGCTCGCGTCTGTAAATAAAATACGAGGCAGTCAGAAACAAAGCTCCGCTCACAACATTTAGCGTAGACAAAGGTGGAATTATAATATATATCTATATCTACATCTATCTCTATATGCATGTACATATATATACATATTTGTATATCACGTTCAAATTATGCACGCATCAACACGTTTCGTCTATAAACCCTAAAAAATATATTGTGTTTCTAAATGTGTAAGCCGTTTAAGTCGCGGAGCCTATAACATATGTATTTGGGCATAGCGAGCCAGCAACTGATAGACCTGTGAGATACTCCTTAAATCATTTTTGGTGATAATTATTTGATGGATTATTTTATTGATGTTATACAAATAATTTCTGAAAATGGAAAACTATTTCTAGATACTTCCTATTATTTAAATATAAACTATTTTTAAATAAAAAATATGGTTTCATTTTAATTTTTAATTCAATTTTATAAATAAAAATTATTTTATGATATCATCTTACATAGTATTTATCTATCTTTTTCTATGAATTCTAAGTTTTATATTAATAAAATATACTTAGAATTCCAGTTTTTATATTTGACCTACGTATTATTAGATAAACATATAAGAAAATTAAAAAATTTGTAAAAATTTAAACAGTTTATGTTGAACTTATAGCTAACTTCTTAAACAATTTTTGTTTCTCCCTAAATATTTATTTGAAAACCAGCCTTTACAGGGAATTCCGTCACTCCCTACTAACGTAACACATATTGGTTAGAGATTTGCGATTCATTGGGTTCTTTGACATATTTAGATTGATTTAACTAAAAGCTGTACTAATTTATGCATCAAAATTTCCATAATATTTCAACTTCCAAGTCTTTAATGAAAACAAACAAAAGAAAAAACAAGATATTTTGGATTGAGAAACATTTTCGCGCTTGCTTCGATTTGTTCAGTTTGTTTGGGTTTCTTTTTTTAATTGAACGATGTTATGACCTGGGCTTGTGATAAGTTTTGAACACCGTAACCTGCTGCCCATCGATTTGTGACGTCAATTGTGAGGGCAGATTAGCATACTCGTTAATAGGTGACGGGCTGCGGTTTTGAACTTTGTGCGTGTGGGGCCAGGGCCTGGCCTTGATAAAGCCTAAAAAAATAAAAATGGACGAAAAATAAAACAATCGGATCTAATGCTAACCTTCTCGGGCTTTTTAACAAACGTTAAGTGGATCAACGAGTTCGGGTCAACGGGTTTCAGAATTCGAATTAAAAGTTTCGCGTATGCACAAGCCATATATATTTTTCGGTTCAGATTATCTCTGCGCGGCTTATGCACCTCTACACTGAGCGAAATAGTATAGGGCATGGGAACATTTTCAATTATTTTAACATATTTTATGAAAAGTTTTCCATTTATGAACGGTTTTCTTTATTTATATATATTCTTTATTTATATATATATAAAAATAAAAAAATAACTCCCACTAAAAAACTATACACTGAGACAAATACTGTAGTAAAACAGTAAATTTGCCTGTAATATTTTATAAAAGGCTTTGCCTTATTTATAAATATTTTATTAATTTTCTTGAAAAATATGTACAAAAATAGCAAAAAGCTCGGTGTAGTAGAAATGAATAGACTTAAAGGGATTAAAGGGATTAAAGGGATCATATTCATACATTATACACGTAGCTAAAATCTTTTTACTTTAGAATATGTTTCCAATTCTATTTTGCAGGTATTTGAAGTGTAAAGTTTTGAGTTGTAGTTTTTTCCAGTGCATTTTTGGAGTAATTTGTGATTGTCATTTTGTTCGTTGATTTGTCTATTGTCCGATCGTAATCCAAATATTAAATATTTGCTCATTCGCTGTGACAGGTTAGACAAGTATTTTATTTTTTTTATTTTTTATTTGTTTTTGTTTATTTTTTTGTTGTTTATTTAGCGCATCAAATTTGATTTGGTTTTTTGGAACGGGCGTCGATTCGTCTTTATTTGTATTTTTTTTTTTTTTTTTTGGTAGGTCAGCCTCGCCAATACATTGAATGCTAAGCATTTTCGGCAACTGTTTGGCTTTTTGGATTTTAGCATATCAATATTTGACCTTTGGATAAATCCCAATCCGTGCCCATCAAACAACTTCCGTTTGGCTAAAATATTTCAATGGAATTTCTCAGTTTTTGTTGAATGAACCATAAATTGAGCAACAACAAGCAGAAGAAGTGTTTGTGTTTTGAGATGCTCAGCAAAAAAAGAGTCGCCTTATACGAATATCATATATCATTTCAGGCAGGCTTATCATATATATATACACACATTTATATAGATATAGACATTCATACGGTTTTATATACATCAAATAATTGCTTACCTCGTCGCAGTTGTCTCAACCGAAAATAACCCAATGAATAGTCCTCTAGGCCACACTCTCGCTCTTTATCTAGCGACATATCATTCTCTTTTTCATTATCTCTCTCTGTCTTTCGCTCGCCATCTCTCACTCTCTCCCTTTCTCTTTCGCAGTCCATCTCTCTATCTCAAAGTCTCTGTCTTTTACAAAGAGCTGCTGACTATAAAATATCCCTAAAAATATATTTTATTTATAATTTACTGACAATGCTTACATCTAAAAGCTTCAGTTTCAGTTCACAAAATGCTAGCTGATGCAAAAGATAATATCTTTAAGAATCTTCTACGTATTTCATCAGAATATTCTAATACTCCACTTGAAAGTGCATCCCAATTACGATTATAAGCTAATAATAACAAAATGCAGCGGGCGTCCTGTACAGTCAGCCCTTCCTGTTGAGTTAGGGAGTCAGACTTCGAAGAAGAAGAAGAAGATGTTGCGGCGAGTGTCTCATATTTTGCCGCTTGATGTCATTAGCGCGACTCTAAAGCAAATATTTGACGATGACAAACGAAGATACAACAGCAAAACATCAACCATAAACCCGTTTGCCCGAAAAAACAACACAGACTCGAGCTGAGGGTGAGGGTGTGATCGCCAGATGAAAGATGAATATCGCGATCTTTTTGCTTTATGTGTATCTGTATCTCGGTGTATTTTTTTTTACTTTGACTTTGACTTTGAGTTTAAGTTTGAGTTTGAGTTTCGTTCCGCTGACTGCGACATTTTTGTCACATGAACCGCGAGCGATCACAGCGATCCTCAGCCCCTGAAACTGAAACCCGATGATGCTTTATGTACTCGCACTTGCCACTCGGGCACTGTCCACTCTTTTTTATTATGCTTTTCTGTCAGCATTTTTTATTTATTTTTGTTTTGCTTTGTTTTTTCTCTCTCTCTTTTATATATAGGAAATCACGGCGATCACAGTTTGTTTGATCAGCAAGCATAATTGAGCTGCGATTGGGAGATTCACTCGATCACTCTTTATATTTCATGTTGTTGCGTTGATCTTGCATTTGTCATGCTCTTATAAATTTGATCCGTTGACAGTTTTTTCTATCTGTTTCTCCTCTACGCTTTTTACTCACTGCAGATCAAAGATCGTTCGGTTATGTGAACCGTTGTTATATATATATATTAGTTTTATCTTCTGTTATTGACTCAGGTTCGGTTTGGGGGGTTCAACATTGGCGCTGACCGCAGTGCTTTAA